TGTATTTTAAAAGTCTAAAACTGATGAGATGCATGTGTAGAGTACGAATTCTCAATTGTTTCAAAGCCCAGATCTTTACCTTCAGCTGCTACGTAATTAGTTATATTTGAGACTCCTCGCATGTCATGGCATCCCAGAATCAACACATCTAAACAGTCCGAGCTACCACCAAGAAAGAGACATCATGAAGCCCAAGGAACCCTTTTCAAAAAGTCAGGGACAAAATTGTGGAGATATACAGATCGGGGCTGGGTAATAAAAATAAATCCCAGAACATTGACCGTCCAGCAGAGCGTCATTAAAACCACCGTTAGTCAATGTGAAGATAATGGCACCGTGGCAAACCTGCCAGGAGAGAGTTGTTCATCAAAACTCAGTAAGCTAGGAGGACATTAACGAGAGAAACATGCAGGAGGACAAAGATAACAGAGCTTGAAGTGAGCCTATCTGTTCATACTACTATAAGTTGCTCAGACCTGGGCTTCATGGAAGAGCTGCAGGAAATCTATAAGCTGGAATGGTTGGATTTCCCCCCAAATATGTGGGAAAAGGATGTTTTAGTCATGAGACAAACAGTAAGGACATCACAATGTCTGAGGCAAATTTACCACCTGAGAACACCATACCCTCTGTGAAGCATGGAGGTGGCAGCACCATGCTGTGGGAACAATGACCCTGTACACACAGCTGAAGCAACACTCCACTGGATGGAGGAAAACCTGCTAAAGCTCCAGTCAAAGGGCAGATCCCAGTCCAACTGATAATCTGTGGTTTGATGTAAAGATTGTCGGACTCATTCAGCGCCGGCCTGAAAGACCTGCAGCTCTTTGGACATAAAGAATGGACCAAAAGTCCAGTAGCTAGAAGCTCCTGGAGACAAACCTGAAAAGTCTTGTTGTAATGTAATCGCAGCACAAGGTGGTAAAGTACTGATGTACTGGGGACTGAAAACAAAAATGTAAACCTGACTTTTACGTTTAATTAATTAAAAATCCAACTGAAGTTTTGGTTGTAAGGCATTAAAATGGAAAGAATACCAAAATGGGATGGATACTTTTTAAGGCTCCGTACGGCTCAAACCATCTGAACTTGTTCTTCTTCCTGTTTTACAGGTAAGTACCTACATGCATGTGGGGGATACCAACCTGGCTGTGGCCCCGGTGTACGAGAGCATCACCCTTCCACTCCCAAAGAGCCGCCCTGCTGCCTCAGCCTCACCTGCGTTTGTACCATCCCCCTCCTCAAAGTCTTCCTCGATGCCCGAACCACAAACAACCAACGTTACCTTCCACCCCGTGACGGGAACCAGCGGCGGCAGCTCCATTTTCAGCAGCCTCAAAAGGATGAGCAAGAAGAGGAGGAGGAAGAGAGATGCACGCAGGCACACGATACAGAAAATCATGGGAGTGGATGAGCGGACTCTTGGGATGCGTCACGACTGCGAGGCTATCATGTACGACACGCAAACATGGCCGCTAAAGGAAACTCGAAGGAAGAAGGGCTCAGGGGGGAAACAAGATGGGGTTGAGGCTTTGGCCTACATGAAGAATCCTCTGCTGACCGATATCGACAGCGAGTGTTTGGGGAAAAACAGCATCAATCCTTACGCTGTATCTGGAGGTCAGGTGAAAGGTCACTGCAGATTCCTCTCTTTGGGCTCAGTGTTGAGTTTTGATCTGCCAAAGGACATGACCCACATCCCCAGCATCCAGGACATCATTACCATCGCCCCTCCAGAGGCCAAAAGATGTGATCCAGGCCCTCACTCGCAGAGAAACGCACTCCTGAGCTCTTTTAGACAAACTCGCCTTGCTCTAGCCGTCACGGAAAGCTCTGCCAACACATCTGACAGCCAGGCGTCAACAACAAAGGGTGTGTGTAACGCGGACGCAAGCGTCCAACCTCCATCGCCCCGTCGCCTCGGAGAAAATGAGGATCAGGCTGAACAGCTCGCTTCTCCAGATATTAAACCAACTACAGCGGAAAGAGATGGAGCGAGCCAGCCTATTTATGAGAACCAAGCCTCTGATTCGGTTCCTCACAATCACAAGTGCCTCAGTGTCCACACACTCATCCAGGACCTGAACGGACACCGGTACCATAAATGTGCGAGGTCTCAATGCAAGCAGGCAGAGAGTCCCTGGCTTCACTTTAACCAAGCGTCTCACATGAGAGTGAATCTGAAGTCGACGATGAGTGTCAGCATTCGGCAGGACTCTGAAGATTCTGGCAGTTCACGTCTTTGCACCGATGCTCCGTGTTCAGACCACCTGCAGCCCAAAGGTGTTGTGGGGAGGCTGGTTTCTCTCAGAATGGGAGGTATAGACTGCTCCAGAACAAGAGAAAGTGATGCTTTGCCTTCTAGCACACCTCAAGAATCATCAGATCCTGTTCGCCTCGATCATCAGCAGTTCGAGGAAGAGGAAGAAGAGCTGGAGGACATCTGGAACCAGACTACAAGCAACAGGCAGAGCATCTGCTCCAACGTTATGTACCAGCACAACCAGGAGGACTTGATGGTCTCAGACCAGACCGATCAGCCGCTTTGCCACTCGTCCACAACAAACCAGTCTACGCTTTACAGAAACCTGGTCACGGCCTCGGCGCCAAACCTCCTTGTAGCCGAGTTCAAACTACCGTCTCGCCTTCAGAGCTCTCTGGGGTGGAGCGATGAAGGTCTCCTTCCTCCTCTGGCTGGGGGAGAGCGGAGATCCTGGGCGGCTTTTCCTAACAGGGAACCAACAAATCAGAGCTCAGTGGCGGTGAACGAGACAGCGTCGAACCCTGTCAAGCTCCCGGACGTAGGGGACAACCCGAGATATATTTATCAGTACAGAGAGGAGGAAGAGGAGGAGGAGCTCACAGGTTGTTTAAAGGTGAGGTTTAACATAAAGTGATGTTAGCACCAAAGAGACTGTTGTGTGATTATACACACAATGCCTGACCAAAAAAAATGTCGCCACCAAAAAAAAAAGGTCACACTAATACTTTGTTGGACCTCCTTTAACTTTGGTTATGGCATGCATTCACTGTGTCATTGTTTCCATAATCTTCTGCAATGTCACAAGATCTATTTCCATCTAGTGTTGCATTAATTTTTCAACAAGATCTTTCATTGATGACTAGACACTAAGCATGATGGGTGCATCACTTCACCTGCCTCTCTTCTTACCCTGATGCACCCGTCACTCTGGAACAGAGTCAGTCTGGACTCCTCAGGCCAAATGACCTTCTTCCATTGCTCCAGAGTCCGATCTTTATGCTCCCTAGCAAACTGAAGCCTTTTTTTTCCCAGTTAGCCTCACTGATTAGTGGTTTTCTTAAGGCTACAGCTGTTCAGTCCTAATCCCATGAGTTCCCTTCACATCGTGCATGTGGAAATGTTCTTACTTTCACTATTAAACACAGCCCTGAGTGCTACTGTTGTTTTTCTTCCATTTGATTTCACCAAACGTTTAAGTGATCGCCGATCACGATCATTCAGGATTTTTTTTCAGCCACATTTCTTCCTGGAAGACGATGGGTCCCCACTATCCTTCCAGTTTTTAATAATGCGTTGGACAGTTCTTAACCTAATTTTAGTAGTTTCTACAATCTCCTTAGATGTTTTCTCTGTTTGATGCCAATGATTTGACTCTTCTCAAACAGACTGACATCTTTTCCACGACTACGTCGTGTCTTTCAACACGGTTGTTTAAGAAAAGAGAAGCAACTCATTGCACCAGTTGGAGTTAAATAACTTGTTGTCAGCTGAAAGATAATCGTCCATGCAGTAATTATCCAGCAGGAGGCTCGTACCCATTTGATTAGTTAAATCCAGGTGGAGACTTTTTTTTGGCCAGGCAGTGTTTTATATATGTAGAGAACTTTTTGAACCACCTCATTTTGGAAAACAGAGTTCAGTTCTGACAGAGCTGAACAGCTAGTCCGAGCACAGCCGGACCAAAGCACATGTCGCCAGATTTAAACAATTCAAATCTCCAAAACTTTAAAGTGGTTCATGCTAACGCTATTTTATAATTATTATACATTGATGTCAGTTCCTTCATTACTTTGTTATTTTGGCCTCCACCGTGGAACACTTGGTAATGAGTGTTGCACTGCAGGTTCGTCTCCCAGCTGGCTAGAAAATAAAATGTTTATTTTAATATTACTGCATGAAGTGCTAAAGCTAGCTTCTGCTGCTGCTATTAGCACTTGCAACCAAAAAAAGGTGATTTTTTGCATAAATAGAAGAAAGTGACAGTAAGTTAAAGTTTATAAAACAGTATTCACACGAAGCACTATGACGTTTTTGAGACTGGAGTCTTTGGTCTTGGCCTCACTTGAGCTAGCTCAGAATAACACCGTTAAGTTTCATCTACAACAGGTAAGATATTCATTATTCATAACCTTTCCACAGATGTACATTTTCAAGAAATCTAGACTTTTGTTTTAATCAATACTCAAAACAAATAATACACTTTTTCTCACTTACTGCAACCCTTAATACAGTAACAATTAAAAACCCATAAATATCCAATGAGGCAGCACGGTGGCGCAGTTGGTAGAGCTGCCACCTTTCAGCAAGAAGGTCGCGGGAACAAATCCCAGCCGGGTGGCGGGGCACTCTGGGTGGAGCTTGCATGTTCTCTCTGTGCATGTTTGGGTGTGTCTCTGTGTTCTTGTGATGGACTGGAAACCTGTCCAGGGTGTCCCCCCACCACCACTCTTGCACAGTGATAGCTGGATATGACACCAGTGACCCCCTTGACCCAAAATGGAATAAGCGGGTAAAGATAATGGATGGATGGATAATAAAAAATAAAGAAAATAATGTCTTTTCCTGAACAGGACCCGTCAACAAGTCTTCTGTCCGTCTGTTTGGGTCAGACTTGTCAGCAAAACCTGGAGAACATGAAGCAACAAGATCAAACGGCCACTGGAGGGCGCTGTTTCATCCTGGTGAGACCTTTGAGTCCAACAGGAGATAAAACCCTGTCACTGCGGGTTGTTCTGACATGAAAGTGTTTTTGTTTTTACTCAAACCCATTCAGAGTGGAAAACCTGAGCTGCAGTCTCTGGAGGGAACTCTTGAGAGGAAACACAAGCTGCAGCTGGGAGGAAAGAAAGTAAGGAAGGTTTGAGCCAACACCTCAAAACGTGAAGCTCCCAGTCATCAGCAGCATGCTCCTTATCTTCTTTCCACAGGCGGCCTCCAGAGGATGGAGCTCCTACCACACTGTCCTCCACAGACACGCCTTGTGCTTCTTCCAGGACAGAAAGGACACGCTGCGAGTGAGTAGGCAAGTTAGGAATGAGAGCAGGAAGCAGGTAGAACGATGTGAGTGATGAGCGCTGTGTCTGCAGAGGTCCACCTGCGGCCTTCCGTTAAACCTGACGGGAGCCGAGTGTTCGCCTGCGTCAGATTACAACAAAAAACCCAACTGCTTTCGATTACGGTAAGAACATCAGAGCAGCTAAAATGTCGTGACCATGCTAATAAATCATACAAATTTAAGATGAATATTAATTAAAGCAAAAACCAACGCAGACATTTTCCTGTTTTTAGTATTCTACATCGCTTTAGCTGTTTTTATTTTTATTAAACATCATTTTATTTTTCTCAGTTTACATGCTTTCTTTCATGACCGTCTACTGTTGTCATCACTCTTTGTTAAAACTGGTCTCTCTTGTAAATGAGTCCTCGAGGCTCAATGAGACTAAAAATGTCAAAAGAACATAAAAAAGAGCTAAAACTGTAGCTAAAAGCTAAAAAAAGAGAAGTTCAACTAAAAGCTAAAATTAGCAAAGTACAGTAAAATGCTAAAATGAGCTAAACCACAGTTAAAAAGGTATTATGGTAAAACAGTACCTAAAAGCAAAATTGTAGCTACAAGCTAAAATGATCAAATTTGTAACTAAAAGCTAAAATTAGCTAAACAATAACTAAAAGCTCAAATTAGTAAAGTACAGCAAAAGGCTAAAGTTAGGTAAACCATAGCTAAAAGTTCAATATGGCTAAACAGTACCTAAAAGCTAAATTGTAGCAACAAGTTAAAATTAGCTAAACCATAACAAAAAGCTAAAATTAGCAAAACCATAGCTAAAAGTTTCATATGGCAAAACAATATCCGAAAGCAAAATAGTACTTACAAGTTAAAATGAGCTAAAATTGTAACTAAATGTTAAAATTTGCAAAATAGGCTACTGCAAAATGCTAAAATGAGCTAAATCATGCTAAAAGTGTAATGTGGCAAAACAGTACCTAAAAACAAATTTGTAACTATAAGCTAAAATTGGCAAAGTACAGCAAAAAGCTAAAATTAGCTAAACCATAGCTAAAAGTGTATGGCAAAACACTACAAAAAAGCTAAATTATAGCTACAAGCTAAAATGGCAAATATTGCAACTAAAGGCTAAAATTAGCTAAACCATAACTAAAAGCTCAAAAATAGCAAAGTACAGCAAAAAGCTAAAACTAGCTAAACCATAGCTAAAAGTTTAATATGGGTAAACAGTACCTAAAAGCTAAATTGTAGCGACAAGTTAAAATTTACTAAACCATAACAAAAAGCTAAAATTAGCTGAACCATAGCTAAATTTTTATATGGCAAAACAGTACCCAAAAGCAAAATAGTACCTACAAGCTAAAATGAGCTAAAATTGTAACTAAAAGTTAAAATTTGCAAAATAGGCTACTGCAAAATGCTAAAATGAGCTAAACCATAGCTAAAAGTGCAAAATGGCAAAACAGTACCTAATAGCAAATTTGTAACTATAAGCTAAAATTGGCAAAGTACAGCAAAAAGCTAAAATTAGCTAAACCATAGCTAAAAGTGTAATATGGCAAAACACTACAAAAAAGCTAAATTATAGCTACAAGCTAAAATGTGCAAATATTACAACTAAAGGCTAAAATTAGCTAAACCATAACAAAAATGTAAAATTAGCTAAACCATAGCTAAAAGTTTCAAATGGCAAAACAATACCCGAAAGCAAAATAGTACCTACAAGTTAAAATGAGCTAAAATTGTAACTAAAAGTTAAAATTTGCAAAATAGGCTACTGCAAAATGCTAAAATGAGCTAAACCATAGCTAAAAGGGTAAAATGGCAAAACAGTACCTAACAGCAAATTTGTAACTATAAGCTAAAATTGGCAAAGTACAGCAAAAAGCTAAAATTAGCTAAACCATAGCTAAAAGTGTAATATGGCAAAACAGTACCTAAAAGCTAAATTTTCAGGAGCAGGCAAAATTTTATTTTCAGGTCTCTCTTGTAAATGAGTCCCCGTGGCTCAATGGGATTAAACTGTATAAATTAAGGTTGGGAAAAAAAAGTAACTACAAGCTAAAATGAGCAAATATTGTAACTAAAAGCTAAAATTAGCCAAACAAAAGCTGAAGGTTAAAATCAGCCACACCCTAGTTAAAAGTTCAATACAACACAACAGGATATAAAACTAAAATTGTATTTAAATTTAGCACAGTTAAGCTAAAAACAACAATTCAGGTAAAATTAGCAGACATCAGCTAAAAGCAACACAAGTAGCAGAAGAAATGAAAAATAGAGCAAATATGCTGAAGCATATTTCATAAAACAAATGTTTTTAAGGAACTGAAGAGTTTGTTTTTTTGGAGAATACTCTTCACAAAGTATAAAAGTTATAAAAACTGACAGTCATAAAGAACTCTTCCTAATGGAGCTGAACCTTTTGGTGCTGTGCATTAATTATTCAATTAGCACAAAGTCCGTTTGATTACAACGAATGCACAGAAGAAACGATAAACAACAAAAATAAACAAGACAACAACGGCGTGAGCGCTGACTCGGCGTGTAAAGATGCCGTTCGGTCATTTAGGATGGTGTTTCTGGTTTTCAGGCTCCGTGACGGCTCTGAATATTTGTTCAGTGCCTCCTCGCGCTTCGTGATGAAGAAATGGATCATGAAGATACAAGCAAGCACAGGTGAGCAGAATTACCTCGACGCTCATTTGTGACACTTTACGCGACGCATTATTCATTTAATTTATCCCTAAAAGGGCCGAGCGAGTCTGTGTCGGGTGTTCATGCTGATCAAGACCTGCTCACGAACACGTAAGACGACTGGCAGGCGAATTAAATGAAACAAAGTCTTTTATACGTCTTTGTTTTAAGATTTATCGTTTTATCTCTTCACCTGATCAGAAAGCCCTCGGTGTGCTCCAGATGTGAAGGTCCAACCAGCTGTTGCTGCTCTTCTCAACATGATGTCACCGACACGGTCCCCAGGCAGAAAGCACCGAGTTTTACCCAAATCAAAGAAACGCTGTTCCTCCTCGAAGAGCTCCGGAGTCTCCCTAGATGTCTGAACGAGCAGCCGAGCAGCTCCTGCTCTGAGGCAGGCTGGTCCAGTGAGTGTTTAGCTTCACTGTGTTGAAGACCACAACGAGAGAAACGGCTTTTCCTGAGAAAATGCAGTGTTATTGCTGAAGAACTTGCTGAAAAACAGCTGAAATGTAGCTGAAATGGAAGAGCGGGCCTAAATTAGCAGAAGAAAGCAGAAAGAACACATATTTCCTGAATTAGGTTTAAATAAGCAGAAATTAGCATAAAATTTAGGAAATTAGCTAAAAGGCTGAAATTATCAACAACAAAAATATAGCTGAAAAGTAGCTGAAAAGGCAGAAAGAAGCTTAAACTACCAGAAGGAAGCAGAAAGATCTGAAATGAGGTTTAAAAAAATGTGGAATTAGTTGAAAAATCTAAAATTAATATCAAAAGAGCTAAATAGTAGCCAGAAGAGCAGAAAAAGCTGCAACTAGCAGAAATAAGCTGAAATGAACATGATGAAGAAAGCAACACAAATTAACATGAAAATTTTTAATTAATTTGAAAAAAAAAAAAAAGGAAATAAGCTAAAAATACTAAAAAAAACTAGCTGAAAAGCTAGAACAAGCTTAAATTAGAAGAAGAAAGAACTCATTTGCCCTGAAAGAAACAGACGAGCACAAAAAAGTGGAGTGTCTGAAAAAATCAGAAGTTTGCTAAAAACAGCTGAAAAGTAGCTAAAAAGGCAGAAAGAAGCTTAAATTACCAGAAGGAAGTGCAGAGAGCACAGATTTGCTGAACAAAGTTGAAATTAAAGTTTAAATGAGTGCAAAAAAGGTGGAATTAGCTGAAAAAGCTCAAATTAGCATAAATGCTAAATAGTAGCTGAAATAGAAGAAAATGCTTAACATTGCATAAATAAGCTGAAATTAACAGAAAAAAGTTAGAAGGAACACAAAAATGTTCTAGTTAGCAGAAAGAACCTGAAAGGAGTACAAAACAGCTGGAATTTGCTGAAAGTAGCTGAAAAATGTTTATATTTACTGAAAGAAGCTGAACAAAATGTGAACGGAGCAGTAAAAGGTTGTAAACACATCTAAAGATTTGAAGGATGTAAAATGAGCTCAGTTCATTTTCTATGAGGAAAAAAAGTAGCAGAAAAGGCTAAATATTTCAAAAAGCTAAAGTTGCACCAATACCAAAAGTCACAGCAGGATTGTCCTGAAAGAGCTGAACATTTTGATTTATGGTCTGTTGAAATAAAAAACTGGAATTGGAAAGACGCTGAAAAATGTATGGAAGGAAAATGGATCATAATGATGCTTCATAAACATTCACACTATTAGCTGTTAATTAGCTGTTAATTAGCTGTTAATAACCCTACCAGAGCTTTTAGCAGCTCCTGCAGGTGCACAGAGCACCACTAGGGGGAGCCATGCTATTGTTTTACCGCACACCAAACACCTGCAGATTATTGAGCATGCATCAGGGTAAACACCTGCAGAGTTTCTGCTTCATGCTTTCGCTCCTCAGACTTTCTGCTCCACTTTTGCTCCTCAGGTGATGATCGGAGCAGTTTGGTGCAGATGGACACGCACAGACTTTCTGGAGACATCCTGTCCTCCCCCCCTCAGTCCCCTGAGTCCAGGGGTCAGCGCTCCCACTCCTTCACATCAGGTTGGTTGGAACTCACGTTTTAGGCTTTTCTGTTTCAGCCAATGTTTGTAAATGCCATGTGAAATTTATTTTAGCTGTTTATCCCTATATCTAAATCTTCAGCTAATTTGGGAGACGGATGCAGATGAATAATTTTGTAACTTCTAAACATTTCAAATCATTTAATGTTATTTACAAATACACCGAGAGCTCGAATTCCTTACCAACGTTGTTCTTAAAATCTGATTCAGTGTTTCGGCTCTCCTTTGTCTTGTGCTACTTTTACTTTTTAGTTACCGTTCTGTTGCATTTAGTATTTACCTAGCCTTTTGCTACTTTTAGCTTGCTGCTTTTTGCCACTATTCTGCTACTTTAAGCATTTAGCCTTTTCCTTCTTTTAGCCCACATTGTGTTTCTTTGAACTTTTAGCCACAGTTCTGCTATTTTTAGCTTTTCATCATCCTCGTTGCCATTACTTTTAATTAACATTTACTGTGTTTATTTTTCTATACTTTAGATTTTAACTACCGCTCTTTTTCTTATCTTTTTGCTACTTTTAGCTCCTAAATATCTTTTTGCTGCTTGTAGATAGCAATTTGCTACTTTTAGCTAACCTGCTGCTGCTTTTAACTAACTGGTATTTTGCTTTCTTAGCTTTTAGTCAATGTGTAACTCATTTTAGTTTTAAACTAACCTTTAGCTGCTTTTAGTTTCTAAGCTAGTGTCTGCTATCTTTAGCTTATAGCTAGTGTTTTGCTACTTTTGTTTTTTTATCTAGCATTTTGCTTTCTTAGCTTTTAGCCAATGTTTAACTCCTTTTAGTTTTCAACTAACCTTTAGCCGCTTTTAGTTTCTAGCTAGCTTTCTACTATCTTTAGCTTATAGTTAGTATTTTGCTACACATTTTGCTTTTTAGCTATTAGCACTGTGGTCCTTTAAGCTGTTATCTAATGTTTTGCTGCTTGTAGCTACTAGTTAATTATCTTTGGCTTGTAGCTAGTGTTTTGCTAATTTTGATTACCATTTTGCTTTCTTTGCTTTTAGCCAATGTTTAACTCCTTTTTGTTTTAAACTAACCTTTAGCTGCTTTTAGTTTCTAGCTAGCTTTCTACTATCTTTAGCTTATAGCTAGTGTTTTGCTACTTTTGTCTAGCATTTTGCTTTTTTAGCTATTAGTTAGCACTGGAGTCCTTTAAGCTTTTACCCGTTGTGCTGCTTTTAGCTTCTAGTTAGTTATATTTAGCTTGTAGCTAGTGTTTTGTTACTTTGGACTCCCATTTAACATTCTTAGCTTTTAGCCAAGTAGTATGTGACTACTTTCAGCTTTAAACTAAACTTTAGCTGCTTTTCTCGTCTAGCTAGTGTTTGCTATCTTTAGGTTGTAGCCCATAATTATCCTCTTTTAGCTTTACAAACTCAGTTTCAGCTCTTTTCAGCGCTCACTCTGCATCTTCACAGAAAATTTAACTTTTCTGGTTTTCTCAGCAACGTACCAGAAGATCAAGCCGGCGCTTTGCTCCCCTGGACGACGAGGCGTGGACGAAGGCTCCAACTACTGCGTGACCCTGGTGGTGGGGGACAAATCGAATGTGGGGGCCCCACGTCGTCCCTCACCTGGATGGCAGCAGCAGGACCCGTGCTCCGCTCTGAGAGGCTACGTGAGCCTGCCGCGGCCTCGCAACAAGTCCGTCTTCAAAAAGTTCTTCGGCAGAAAGGAGCTCTGAGCGCAGAAATGTTGAGTTTAGTTTCTGACGTGCAGCGCACACGCCGAGCAAAGATTAAAGAAACAACTACTGACGATATTTATGATGAACAGGAGGTTCATTTTGGGTGTTTTACTTAAATCCCTTCAGGGGCTGAGTTAATCTTTGTGATGAGTGTTTTTCTTGTTTATCCTAAACTAACAGAACTGTAGAGGTGTGCACGGTGCAGCTACTGAGTGGAGTGGGTTTTCTCTGCAGTCACGTCTTTTTGTTTGGTCGGGTTAATTATCACCGCGCTGCTTCGCTAACATCTCAGATCAATTATCAGAGACATCCTGAGCTCGGGACTCCGGCAGTCATCCACGAACCAGCTGTTTGATTCACGAACCAGCTGTTTGATCCACGAACCAGCTGTTTGATCCACGAACCAGCTGTTTGATCCAGGAACCAGCCGTTTGGTCCACGAACCAGCTGTTTGATCCACGGACCAGCTGTTTGATTCACGAACCAGCTGTTTGATCCACGGACCATCTCATCCAGGAACCAGCTGTTTGATCCACGAACTAGCTGTTAGATTCACGAACCAGTTGTTTGATCCACGGACCAGCTGTTTGATCCACGGACCATCTGTTTGATCCAGGAACCAGCTGTTTGGTCCACTAACCAGCTGTTTGATCCACGGACCAGCTGTTAGATCCAGGAACCAGCTGTTTGGTCCACGAACCAGCTGTTTGATTCACGGACCATCTGTTTGATCCAAGAACCATCTGTTTGATCCACGAACCAGCTGTTTGATCCACGAACCAGCTGTTTGATCCACGAACCAGCTGTTCAATTCACGAATCAGCTGTTTGATTCACGAATCAGCTGTTTGATTCACGAACCAGCTGTTTGATCCACAAACTAGCTGTTCGATTCACGAACCAGCTGTTTGATTCACGAATCAGCTGTTTGATCCACGAATCAGCTGTTTGATCCACGAATCAGCTGTTTGATTCACGAATCAGCTGTTTGATTCACGAATCAGCTGTTTGATCCACGAATCAGCTGTTTGATTCACGAGTCAGCTGTTTGATTCACGAATCAGCTGTTTGATGGAGTGATTTAAGTCTGGCTCAACACCGGCTGCAGGCCACACAGAATAAAACGTTTCAAAAGAAATTGCTTCGGCTGTGGTTTAAATGTTTCTTTAGTTCAGCTGAATGTGATGAAACGAGAGAACTTGGTGTTTTTTGTGAAAATGCAGGTGAGTGTGGAAGAACAGCCGAAACTTGATGAAGAAGCTGAAACATAATTGTGAAAGCTAAAGGAAGCAAAAAGCTTGCTAAAAGCTAAAAGTACCAGTAGCTAAATGGTACCTGAAAGCTACAAGTATCAAAAGGTTAACAAAAAATTACAAAACAGTACATAGTAGCTAAAATTAAAAAAAGGGCTAACTAAAAGCTGAAACTAACTAAATGCCAAAAAATTAAAATGCTAACTAAAAGCCAAAAGCATTCAAACAAATAGCTAAAAGCTAAAATAGCTAATAGCCACACAAATTAAAAACTAGCTAAAAGTATGATAGTAAACAATACCTAGAGAACTAATTAAAAGCTAAAAGTATCAAGACTAGCTAATAGCTAAAAGAAACGACATGTTAGAAGCTAAAATATCAAAATGCTAGCTAGAAGCTTAAAGTAGCAAAATAGTAAGCTGCAAGTATCGAAAAGGTTAACTAAAAATTGCTAAACTACACAGTGGCTAAAAGTAAAAAAGGGCTGACTAAATGCTGAAAGTAGCAAAATGCTAACTAAAAGCCAAAACAAATAGCTAAAAGCTAAAATAGCTAACAGGCACAGGAATTAATACTAGCTAACAATAGTAAACGATACCTAGAGAACTACCTATAAGCTAAACGTATCAAGACTAGCTAACAGCTAAAATATTTAAAACACTAGTTAGAAACTAAAAGTGTCAAAATGTGAGCTAAAAGCTTAAAGTAGCATAAAAGACGAGCACAGAAGCAGATTTAAAAGCAACGGATTTGAAAGAATTAAATCATTTTCTATGCGAAAAAATATTTGTAAATAAAAACCGAAAAGCAGAAGTCTTGGCACCCACCTCCTGAATGAGCTGAACTTTTTCCAAATATAAAATCTTAAAATAGCACAATGTAAGAAGTTAGACTGCAAAAAAATGTACAGAAAAACAAAAAACAGGAACCAGGAGTGTGACTG